GATAGATAGATAGATAGATAGATAGATAGATAGATAGATAGATAGATGATAGGTAGGTAGGTATATTTAGAATACATTGGAGAAATTTCCATTAAAAGACATAACAAGAAACTTGTAAATGTATCAGTGATATTTACACTGAATTATAGATATTAAGGAAAGAACATAATAAGAACTCGGTATAAGACAGATAATCAGAAATAATAAATGGATGTGAAATCTCCAGTGGATTTGTTTGATTTATAAAATCCATAATGTTATAGACTAGAAAATGGCCATGTTGATATAAACAGTAATATATCTGGCAGCCGTACTCATATGATAAAAGTTTCAGTTACACAATGAATTCAAAGTCATTTCAATTTCATTTAGCTATAATGATATCTCAAAGAGTCCCAGGATTTTGATTTATGAAGCTGCCAATCATGCTTTGTTTCTCTTTTTATAGGATTTTCTAATTAAGATGTCTTAGTTAGTAATATAGTAAACACATAGGTTGGGGACAAATGTAAATTTGAGTGTAAATTACACTTTAATTTGGAACTGTTGAAATAATTTGGATTGTGGCCATGGAATAAAATGGTACACACAAACACACCCACATAGTCACTTTGATCAGGGTTCCTCCCCCCAAAAAATATCACTATTGGCATGAGCTGAATAAGTGGAGACTTAAATCCCAATTGCTATTCAGTGTAATCATATAATATTTGTTTACAAATAAACTTGGCAGATTGTCAATAAATCTCTTTACACTCATTTTTCACCCTCTTAACTCTGAAAATCATGAATTTATTATCCTTTTCAATTCTAAGTAACTCAGACTGAGAGTAGATATCTGGGTTCAAATTCAAAAACAGGAAACTTATTAGATACAAATTTGAGCCAACTTGATGGTTCTAGTCAGAGGTGGTATTCAGCAGGTTCTGACCAGTTCTGGAGAACCGGTAGCAGAAATTTTGAATAGTTCAGAGAACCAGCAAATACCACCTCTGACTGGAGATTTTACAGTATCCTTCCCCTGCCACACCCATCAAGCCACGCCCACAAAACCAGGTTGGAGATTCTGTTCTAGTGGTTGCCAATTAGTGCAGCATTGTTGAGACATATATATTGTAAACTGGATCTTGTTTGTGACAACTGGTTCATCATCTTAGTCTACTATTTTTTATCTCTAATGGTACACAACTCTTTCTGTAATACTGCAGATGTTCTCATGCTTTTAGTTCACTCATCCATTTCCCCATTTCCAGAAAATTCTTGCCTATCCCCCATTTCCCTGTTCTGGGCTTCAGCCACCAAAGTCAGATTTTTCATTTATCCTTACCATAAAATGACAGAAAGGATGGATACAAGTGATTTATTTTGCATGGTGTGGAGCAAGGTGATTTTTGTTATTTCAGGTTCTGTGGCAGCTCTACACAGTTGTACACAGGGCAGCAATTGAGTAAACATAATTTTCCCTTTGTTTTCATCATTTTTAGATGGTGCCAGAACTGCCATCTCATGCCTGCACTCAACCATCATCCAGTGCTACTCTGCCATGAGCCCTGGGAGAGGGTGAGAAGGCGTGCTTGGGAAGAAAGTGAAAGTTAAGAAAGCAAACTCTGTCTCAAGGTTGATCTGCTATGAAAAGAACACAGCTGCAAGCCAGCCTACCATCAGAGTGACTGTTTCAAAAACAATGGAAATTGATTGGACAATGGGGATCCAGAAAGGGGAAGTACCTGAGAAAAAGTTTTCACTTGGGGATTTGGTGCATGACTTTCAGTTCTGGTTTCGCTTTAGTGTGACCTTTTACTTTTCGCTTTAGTGTGACCACTTGACCTTTAGTAAACTATACCTTTCTCAACAAATGGAGTCAAGGATCATTCTTGCTTAAAGGTTCAAGTTGAGGCAGGACTGACAGATGGTATAAACATAATCATGGAGCACTTATGTTTTTCAAACTCTTGGGGGAATGGAAATTGTGATCTTGTGCAAGTGTCCACCTACAGGTACCATGAAATGTTAGATACCATTTATTATACCAGTCAGAAACTTAGCTATAAACCTTGTTTCTAGATTTTTTTCTGAAAGAAAGGCTATAACATTTTCATCATTCTTGGGTGAATACTAATTCAGATTGGACATTTTATTTTCATCAAAAATTCAAGTTATTTAATATTTCCCCCTCAATTTGTTTGTTTATCTGAAGAAAATTTTTTCTGTCTCTCTACATAAATACACAGAGCTCAAAAGTGAAATTTGACTGACTGATTGATTATGTGCTATCAAGTCAATGTTGACACTTAGTGTCCGTATAGATAGATTTTATCCAGAAGAATTGATTCCCAGCCTGGTCCTTCAGGTCTTTCTATTTTCACTTTGTTGCTGGTCATTATCCTCTACTGTTTCCTTCCACCTTTCACAGCATTATAGATTTTTTTTCCAGATACCTCAGTCTTGATATGATGTGTACAAATGATGGTAATGCGATTCTAGCCATTTATGCTTTGAGGAAGAACCCTAGATTGATTTGTTTGGTGTTCCATGTATTTGTTCCATGACATTTTCAGTAGTCTTCTCCAACACCTAAATTCAAAAAATGTCAATTCTCTTTCTGTCCTGCTTCTTCAAAGTCTAACTTTCATGGTGTCACAGAGAAAACCATTGTCTGCACACAATTGTTTGTAGGTACACAGTACATACTTTCCTGCTTCTGACTATCTTTCCAAAGCATTTATGGTTATTATACCAAGTGCTAGTCTGCAGCCTATTTTTTGACAGTTGATCACTTTATTGTTGATAGTTAATCCTAAAAGGCAGAAACAATCCACCACTTCAGTTCAAGGCCTAGTTGTTGTACCTTTATATTTAATCTTAGTTCCATTTTATTCACTTGGTTCCTTGTATTTCATTACTAGAGCTTCCAAATAATTTTTTGTTTTCAGCTATCAATAATGAACTTAAAGAATTTCAAATGCACAAAAGGCAACTAGCAATTGTTAGTAATTTCTTAAAGCATAATTGTTTTTACAAAGTTCCATGCACATACTATATGCAATATTTGTATGCATATAAAGTGTTGAACAGTATTTAATCTTTTTAAATGAAGAGTGTAAAGAGAACATGAAGTGAAAATGCATAGTTCTGTTTTGATCAGCTGTCTGAAAAGATTAAAATATCACAAATAACATGGTTCAACATCAGCCAGCATTAATATTATCAATAATTTTAAATAATTTTTATGGATTGATGCGGTGGGTATATTTTTGCCTATCCTTCAGAAAGTGAATTCTTGTAACTGTTTTATTTTTTCTCTCCTGCTCAATAAAAAATGGAGGTGCACAGTTGCAGAAAGTAGTGGCTAGCATTTTTTTTTTATGGGAGAAATTTATGGAGTAATGTGTCTACTTTTAGCATGACTATTGTTAAACCTGGGGATCAAGCCAAGTGACATCAAGTATATTGCTTTATCAATTGGATTCGTTCAAGAGAAAAATGCTGATTATGCCATGTCTTTTCCCCTGGGTGAAGAAACACTGCTTTGCTACTTGAATGGTCAATACATAAAAGTCAAATTCATTATAATTTGTAGCTTTTTTTTCTTGAAGAAGAACATAGTCCTCAGTACATCAAAATCAACTCTTGAATCCACATAGAATAGAGAAGGTACAGCAGCGTAATTCAATCTCTTTACACTTAATGTGGTCAGGAAGGGAGAATGAAAACAGCCTCTTGTAAAATGATGGGGAAACCAGGATGCAATCATTCTGATGGAGCTGTGCAAAGGAGTCATTTTACACCATTTGTTACCAGGGCAACAAATATAGTGAATCCCATACATCTAACAGGTGACATTTTAGCTAAGAAATTGCTTCTTTGGAATTTTTTTTCTCTACCCGTCTATGAAAAACAATGTTACCAGCATTTTCACTTGTCATCTGCTATAGGGCAACACATTCCTGCTGACAGGCCTATAATGGAAAAATAGAGCACTTAAATAGGATTGCAGTCTAACTTTTGAGATACATGCTAATCTGGTTTTTAAAGAAAGACTTCAGACATTTTTGAACACTCTGAAGCTTCAAGTGACTGGAACTTTGTGTGTGGTGTTCTTGGATGAGCCGGCAATGCATTTTGTTGTGAGATATCATTCTCCGTTCTTTTTTATTTAGTTCCAACTGATTCCTGATCCTAGTCCATGCTTTGGTAATGGACATAGGTCAGCAGTTATAACAGGTACTAGAACAAGTCATGTGAACAAGTCACAGAAATACCTGGCTCTTTTTGGCAAGGAGTTTATACATATTGTGTTTCCAGGGTGACAGGGGAGATGTCATGCCCCTGGTGGAGACTGACTCTGAGGAAGAGGAGGAACAGCCAACAGGGAGTGGGAGTGTGGCTCCAGAGGTGGTGGAGGAGGCTGGGGGAGGGCAGAGGCCGGCTGAGCAATCAGAGGAGGATCCAGGCCCATCCCCTATCCATCCTAGATCACACAGGGAGGAGAGGATCAGGAAAAAGCAAGGTCTACTCAGGAGGAGATTACCATGATCCTCCTCATGGCTTGCAGGTGGGAGCTATGTATATAAGTTTCCAACTGCGCAGTTAGAATTGCTGAAGTCAATTAGTGTTCACCTTGAAGGAGGCTTATTCTTGCTGGTGTTCTTCCCATGGACTTTTCTCGGCTATTTTCCTAGAGTTTATAATTAGTTATCTAATTTGATAATTAGCCGCCATGCAGAAAATGAATAAAGCGCCACCAGAAACCCCAAA